ACACACCCACCCACCCACCCACACACACACACATGTACATTACACTCTCCAATCCACTTCCATGAGAGCAGAACTTCTCCTCCTCACCCAGGGCTGAAGTGAAAACACATCCCATTGCATGCTAGCCTAGCAATCCCTTCTTGGCCAATCGCATTGTTCCATTGCTGGCTGAAGCGTGAGCTCTAAGGACCAAGCTCCCAGCCTAGCAATTCTGCAAGTCTCTGAAGTGCCTCATTTGGTACTAAGTAACTGTTGATTTTCCCTGGCTGCCTTTTGTCCCTCGATTCTATGCATTGCAGTGGTAAATTCAATGTTCATTTCAGCAAAGAGTTACTTGGCTGGGTGTGGGTAATCTGCTTTCAGCTCTTGGCAGACTGAAAGACCATGAGGCCCTGTCTTCTTTCCCCCCCCCCCTTCTGTTCTTTCTTTTCAAACCAAGGGAGTGCTCCACTCCGCCTTCCCGCCCTCCTATTCCTTGCCCTCCTTACCCTCTGCTCACTGGGATGCACACCAAAAGGGGAAGAAAAAAAGGAGAAAAAAGAGAGCGACTCAACAAGGGCACGGCCAGGACTCTTTGCCCAATGCGACTTTAGCAAGGAGGAGAAGAGAAAGTGGAGCAAGAGAAGAGAAAGACAAGGACGAGGAGGGGAGGTGGGGAGAAGACAGAGAGGAGGATGAGGACGGCGATAATTAAGGGAGGTGGAATCAGAAGACGTTTGGATGGAACGACCAGGACACCAACGCTAAGTAGGAGATTGAGGAGGGAGGAGGAGGAGGAGGATAATTGAGGAAGAGGAAATCAGAAGACATCCGTCCATACCAGGACATGGAGGCTGAGAGTGGGAGAGGGAGGAAGAAAAGGATAAGTGAGGATGAGAAAAGAGAGGAGGAGGACGAGGAGGAGATGATACACTCAAGTACTGTCGACTCTGTTGAGTCGAACCTTGAAACTGAATTTGGGTACAAAAAAAAGAACACGAAATTGAATTTGGATAAAGATTCGATGAGGTGCGTTTAGGAGGGGAGACAGCAATAAGGACTAGTGGATGGGGGGTTCGGAGGCAGTAGGGGGTAGGCTCAATCTAGAGAGACAAGGAAAAAGGGGAGTTTGCTGGGTAACGGCTTATGTTTGTGTACGGTTTTCCTTCGGGTCCCGGAGGGTCTCGTCAAAAGCCTAACACTGGGTAATGCTCCCAGACCCGGTGTTTATGTGGGGAGACCGGCCCCTCTCCTCTTAGTTAACAATGAATGGAGCCCGTTTTTGTTTTTTTAAGATTGGATGAGGTGGGAGGTAAAAAAAGTTCAAAAAACAGAAAAAAAAGGGAGGTAAAATATTGCTGGACTGAACTGGCTAACAAATTGAATTCACAGAGAGAGAGAGAGAGAGAGAGAGAGAGAGAGAGAGAGAGAGAGAGAGAGAGAGAGAGAGAGAG